TTTGAGAAACCGTCTCGAGATCGCTAGATTTTGAAAATACACAACCGGAGAAAAATCTGGCCACTATCCTTATAGCAGCCCCTTAAGGCACGAGATAAGTTTGTGCACAGATGGAAGGCTGACAGACAGGTAGGCCATCCAGTTATTTTAGCCGGAGGCCGGCAAAGCACCTTGAATTGCCTGGTGCTGAAAGGTGCTATATAAATAAACTTGCCTTGCCTTGCCTTGCCTAAAAATGATTGGTGGTGCTTTTTACAGCACTACGGCTTCCACAGATGACATTTTTTTATGGATTTTTTTGTCAAAGCACTTCAGATATTCATATGCTATCGGGATGTTAAGAGCATTCCATGGAATATAACAAAAAGTGTATCTCGAGCCGGTTTCTCAAACTTACCTACCCCACCTTTAAGTGAGGTGGGAATAACCACGACAATTAGCTAAGCTAGCATTGGCATACTTATGGCCGGATGACTACTTTGTAATAGTAGCCTAGCTACAGTACATAGCCAACTGATGTGAGATAGATAACTAGTTAACTTAGCTAACTCATAACTTCATTATCCATCCATCCATCCATCTTCTCCCGCTTATCCGTGGTCGGGTCGCGGGGGTAGCAGTTCCAGCAGAGAGCCCCAAACTTTCTTTTCCCTGGCGACATCAACCAGCTCGGACTGGGGGATCCCAAGGCGCTCCCAGGCCAGCGAAGAGATATAATCCCTCCACCTGGTCCTAGGTCTACCCCTTGGTCTCTTCCCAGCTGGACGTGCCTGGAACACCTACCCCCTAGGGAGGCGGCCCCAGGGTGGCAGTCCCTAACTAGGTGCCCGAAACCACCTCAACTGGCTCCTTTCGACGCGAAGGAGGAGCGGCTCAACGCTCCGAGTCCCCTCCCTGATGACCGAACTTCTCACCTTATCCCTAAGGGAGACACCAGCCACCCTGCGGAGAAAACCCATCTCGGCCGCTTGTATCCGCGATCTCGTTCTTTCGGTCATGACCCATCCCTTCATGACCATAGGTGAGGGTAGGACGAAAAATGGCCCGGTAGACAGAGAGCTTTGCCTTCTGGCTCAGCTCCCTTTTCGTCACAACGGTGCGGTAAAGCGACTGCAGTACCGCTCCCACGCTGCTCCGCTTCTCCGATTCCGGCCCATCTCACGCTCCATTGTTCCCCTCACTCGAGAACAAGACCCCGAGATACTTGAACTCCTTCACTTGGGGTAAGGACTCATTCCCTACTTGAAGTGGACAGTCTCATCAGTCCACTTCATTATCATATCATTGTATTGTAAATGTTTACAAAATAAAACACATATACTATACCTTTCACCTGAATTCAAAATGATTGAGTATGATGACTGGTTTTTGCTGATGCCTGCTGGTTGGGACTGCAGTATGCTGCTTGGGTGTCAGGAAGCGTTACTATGCAGCCGCATAGCAACGGGTGGGTGGGGCCAACCGCTGCCCACCCAATCAACCACTGGATGTTCATTTACAAATTCCAACTGATTGACAGCTTATTTTTTGGTAAATGTCTACCTTGTCCTTGTCCAATTCAATTGAAAATGACACCTTAAATTATTTTCTACATCGTTTGGTCCCAAAATTAAAAAAGACGTGGACATTAAACACGCGGACTGGCGGCCATCTTGGATTTGACTGTTACTTTGATGTCATGTATCTAGCTGATGATAAATTGATATCACACACACAAAATAATTTGCAATTTTGCAAATTTCAACTGATTGACAGCTTATTTTTGGTCAATTTCTACCTTTATCTTCACCTAAATGCATTTTCTGGCAACCTCAAAAGTATCACCAAATGATTGGGCATCCCTAATTTAATTGGATATGACACCTTAAATGTTTTTCTACAATGTTTGGTTCCAAAATTAAGCGTGTTTGAACATTTGACCCGAGAGTCTGGCGGCCATCTTGGATTTGACCTCTCACGGTCCTCACCATGGATGTATAATAAGAAGGTCCTCACAGGTCAAATCTGACTTCCCTCCACATCTGAAAATAAACCTTATGGTATGCACTAACTATGCTAGAAATGTCATGCTTTTCTCATAAAATGCACAATTGTTATATGAGAGCTTATCCGCTGTACTACAATGTTTATCATCATGAAATGAACATCTATATATTTTATACCATACTTGCACTGCTTACCGTTTTCATACTTTACATATCTTAGCATATTCATACACACTGTTAATACTGTTCATACTGCTGGCTACTGTGTATATCTAGTGTATTCATATCCCTCACTGTTTATTCATCATTCAATTCAATCTATATTTTATTCTGTAGATTGTGTACATTACTTTTCACTTTACTGCTTTTTGCACTCCTGGTTAGAAGCTAAATTGCATTTCGTTGTCTCAGTACCTGTAATCTGTGCAATAACAATAAAGTTGAATCTAATCTTGAGCAGGAACAAATTTATTTACTTAGTACATATCTGACATTAACAATTAAACACATTTGTGCATTCTTTATGGATGCAAACCGAGTCAAGCCGACTCGGAGAGGAGAAACACCTCTGGAGATCAGAAGAGAGAAATGTGCTCTGTCATAGGCCTACTGGGTCAGGCTACAAGGAAGTGGAGAGGAAAATATCACAAACAGAATACTACTGCTGGGAATATACAAAGTTCCAGGGGCGTGGGGTTGGCTGGACAAGTAAGGAGAGAACGAGGGCATATGTTGCCAAAGCAAGCCCATTTAGCCGTGTTCCCCCATGGCTTTTCCCAGATGCTAACATAGATGTGAGTATCATAGAAAGGAAAAAAGAGTGGCAAATAAATGAAGTGAGAATTAAAATGAGTATGTACCTGAACAAAAAGTATTACAATTACCTACACATTTATACAGATGGATCTAAGAAGCAAGAATGCGTGGGGATAGGCGTGTATATACCAGAATTCAAAATATCAATCTCAAAACGAGTGTCAAATAACTTATCAGTTTATACAGCAGAAATACTAGCAGCAATTATTGGGCTACAATGGGTTGAAGAGGTCTGATAGGGCTGTGATATGCACAGACTCACTATCTGCTTTGGAAAGCATACAGTCCACAATAACTGTAGAGAAGATGTAATCATTGAACTTAACCATTGGTTATTGAGACTTCAGAGGAGGGGAATAGATGTGCAGTTATGCTGGGTGCCTGCACATGAGGGGGTTCAAGGGAATGAGCATGCTGATAAGTTAGCAAAAGATGTGTTACAGAAGGAAATAGCAATACCAGTTTTACTTGGAAAAGGAGAAGGAAAAGCAATAATTCAGAAGAAGGGTATGGAAATATGGCAGAAAATGTGGGAGGAAGATCAGAAAGGGAGGAGATACCACAAGTTACAGAAATCAATCATAATAAAGGTCTATACCAGGGGTGGGGAACCTTTTTCCTCTCAAGGGCCATTTCAATTTTTTCAACATCCTCCGAGGGCCGTACAAATGATTGACCTCTGCTTAAAAAACTAAAATCACTGCCCATTCATTTCGTCTTTCTTTCATGGTGTGCAAAGAAAAAGCAACCTCTTAATCCAGATATTTTACCATGATTCGCGTATGCATGCACGTGCACGGTTGTGGCATGACCACCAAAACAGAAAGATATGGACACAAGATATGTGCAAATGTGTTTAGTTTTATATCCATGTGGACATGATTTAAGTGGTGGGGACCTAACCTCCTCTAGGGGGGTCCGGGGAAGTTTTTTTTTTAAACGTCGAAATTAAAAGCATCAATCTGGTGCACTTTGAGAGCAACATTAAGAGATCTATGGATACATCTCTCAACACCCATATGAAACAGAACTGTAAGCAGATTTATTTTTCTTTATGGATATTTTACAAATCACTCCCCTTTTAAACTGTATTCTTGTTTATTAATAACAACTTTTTTTTACTGTCATATAGTATTTTATACCTGTTTACTTTATTCTCGTATTTGTTTATAACTATAATGATCATATAAAGATGTGCCTTTACCTCACTGGTTGTAGAAAAAGCTTCTTATATTCGTTAGCATAGCTAGCTAACCAGATGCTAATAACAACAAAGTTATTGACTGTATGATCAGTATGACAGATGAACAGATCGCCACTGGGTTTTCAACTAAAGACAGAGCCACGCAAAAACTGCATGTGTACGGCTCCTATATGGGTTCTGCAATTTTTGAAGTGCCGGAGCCGCGTTCTGGTGATCCGGCAGAACTGCACCCCTGTCAGACGAGACATATACCACGTGGTGACACGTTAGGCTCGTGTTGTGTTCAAGGACCCTGACCGTGGCCAGGATAAACAGGCACTCGCCTGTTTAATTCTTTTGCGGTCTAGATTTCTTAATTTTTTTTCTTTTTTGCGTGTGTTTATAAATTACCTCCAGGGCCGTATCCAATTGTCTCGCGGGCCGTATGCGGCCCGGGGGCCGGAGGTTCCCCACCCCTGGTCTATACAGACAGGAGGAGATCACCATCACTAGACTCAGACTGGATCATACAGGATTAAACGGCACAATGTTTATAATGGGAAAAAGCGAAGTTGAAGAATGCAGGGGGTGTGGAGTGAAAGAAAATGTGGAACACATCATATAACACTGCAACATGTTCAAAACAGAGAGGGTCAGAGAGGCAGGACGGGAGTGGAGCCTGATGGGGACACTGGGAACTGAAGGTGAGGGAGTAAGAGCTACCAGGAAGGCCATTATTAAGTATTTGAGTGAAACAGGATTGATTGGAAGAATTTAAAACAATGTAAACATAGTGGTATAATTCCACGAAGAAGAAGAAGAAGAAGAAGAAGAAGAAGAAGAAGAAGAAGAAGAAGAAGAAGAAGAAGAAGAAGAAGAAGAAGAAGAAGAAGAAGAAGAATAAGAAGAAGAAGAAGAAGAAGAAGAAGAAGAAGAAGAAGAAGAAGAAGAAGAAGAAGAAGAAGAAGAAGAAGAAGAAGAAGAAGAAGAAGAAGAATTCCCCCTCCAGAACAGTAGGTGGCAGTGATGCATCTAATCGTTAGGGGCAAACCGCCAATAAACCTTAAAGAAGAAGCAGAAGAAGAAGAAGAAGAACGAGAAGAAGAAGAAGAAGCAGAGCAGCTACTGCAGACTTATTTTTATATTTAAATATGTTTTCCCCTTCTTGTTCAGTAGGTTTACTATCAGCCCTAGTACAATTGACCACCCAGTGCTAAGCCCTACCATTAGCGGTGTGCTGGTTGATACAGCAGAGCTAGCTCCACTGCTAACTTAGCTTAGCTTCTTCTGGTGTGTTGCTAACTCCACTTAGCTTAGTTAAACAACCTTAAAAGTGTGTTAAGTAAGCTTAGTCTGCAAGAGGTAACAGTTCACATCAAACGCGTCTACATTATAGAGGTGTGTATTAGTAAATACGTTCCTAAAGTGATCATTGATATTGATATAATGATTCACAGTGCAAACTAATACTGTTCCTTTTCTAAGTGCGTTACAATCTATAAGGTCGCTTTCTGTTTATGTGGGTTTATTAACAATAATGGGGTGTTTGGCAGTGATCATATTTGATCTATGTATTCAGCGGTTACAGTATTGACTGAGACTTTATTTGGCTGCTTTCTGTTTGTTTCCGTCTCACAGCATGGCGCTCAAGTCGGGAGAGGAGCGTCTGAAAGAGATGGAGGCTGAGATGGCTCTGTGAGTACCACCGTTTCAAAGATCCCTTCTCCAAAAACACATACGTTTAATACTAGTTCTACCTAGCACACTAGCAATTATATTCTAGGTGAACATCAGGTGGTCCTAACACCCAGATGATAAGCCTTCTCCGGCTCACACCCCAAGTGTGTATCTGTTGTACTGATGATGTTTTGGTGACGTCAGATGTTCCAGTTGATAGCATTAGGTCACTTTGGAAAATCAATGACAGGATGAAATGATCACATATTCTAATAAATGCATTGGAGGGGGTCACTCTGGGGCAGATTGCAGATAGGATGTATCCTTCATCAAGCATATGTTGTATGTATAAAACAATTAGTAACACTGACGCTTCGATGCCAGGTTTTAACCCAACAAAGTCTTTAATAGGTCTATGATCATTTTGATGATGCCAAATCAGTGCTAATAGGATACATTCATTGGTCTGTAAGTCAATCAAAAAGGAATTAATTGCTAACAATCTTGATAATTTAACCAAATGTGTGTTTAGCCTCTAGCATTAGTAGTATTTTCTGCAGTTTGACTATGGCTCCACTTCACTTGGCTTTTCTTTGACTGCAATTCTATTTTTGCTCTTGTGTTGTTTTTTAAAATATGTTACTTCCACCCAGAAGGGAATGAACTAGTAGCGCACCCTATAAAAGACTGTGAATGTTCTCACCAATGTTAACACTGTCTGTCTCGCTGTAGTTTTGAGCAGGAGGTCCTCGGTGGTCCGGTGGCAGTATCGGGGAGCCCCCCTGTGATGGGGGAGGGAATACCTGTAGCTCTCTCTGTCCCAGTAATGCGAGCCATTATTGGCACCAACACCTACAGTCAGGTTTGTACTTTTCTAATATCATTCATTCTGAGTAGTAATGTCCTATCTACCCTGCTCACTGTAAGGTGACAGATCTATGGAAACAAAAATGCTTTTTCCTCTCTCTGAAAAAAGAGCCACTAATCGAGGCAATGTCTTGAGATTATTATTCTATTATTTTGTCTACTGACCCTCCCCCTCTTCACTCTCTCAGGTCCAGCAGACATTAGATGCCAGAGCTGCTACTTTTGTTGGTCCTCCCCCGGTGTTTGCCGGTCCAGGTGAACATAAACTCTCCGCATTCCTTAACTAGGCTTTTGCATTAGCATACAATGTAGGAAGTACTCTGCTCATTATCATTTAAAGTTAGGGGTGTGCCAAAGAGTGCAATTAACCTAACAATCTAATATCGTTTTTCCCCCAAATCATAATAAATATGAAAGAGGCCGTCTGAAACGCCTCTATTAGACTCCGTTGTATAATTCTCTAACATAGTGACATCACTATGTAACACTTGTGCTTTTATTGGCTAGCACTTCAAAACATTGTTAGTGCTATGCTAAGGGATGGAACATCTCTAAGTGGTTGACCAATCACAGCAGAGCCGGCCAGCTAACCAATCAGAGCAGACTGGGCTCTGGTTTCAGACAGAGGGTGAAAAGAGGTGCTGCAGCACAGGCAGTATATGAGAACAATAAAGAGCTTTTGAACATTAAAGCAGGAGACATGTAGCAGTAGAGGCACTACATACAAATATCAACCTGAGAATTTGTGTAATATGTCCTCTTTAAAATGTAAACATTTGCTATTTCCTATGTTTGTTCATCACTCACTGTGTCTCCTGTCTGTCCCAGTCCCTCCGATGCGTCCTCCCATGCTGAGACCGGCCTTTGTCCCTCATATCCTGCATAGACCTGGTAAGATTGGCAGTTTTCAGGAGAATTGTTCCAAGTAATTTTTTGGGGATAATCAATAAATCAGACCTACATGGAAATGCTTTCTTTCATGGAAGCTCTCTTTGGGTTTGTGATGTTGTTGACAAAAGAATCAACCTCTGCTTCTACCTGTGTTGACAGTTGGTCAGAGGATGCCGATGATGCGCGGCCCTCCAATGGCACCTCCTATGCCCCGGCCTCCTCCTCCCTCCTCCCATGATGATGCCTCCTTCCATGCAGGGCCCATCACCTCAGGGCGCTCCTCAGCCCCTCCAACACATGGCTGCCCCCCCCCTCAGGTCTCAACTCTTCCTATAAACCCAAATGGACACTGTGCTGTTTCTCTCGGTCAACACCATTGCTTATTGTTTTCCACATGGGGTGAAATTGTAAATCTTGCGTCTGCTCCTTCTCTCTCTCTCTCAGGTCCGAGAATATGGTCTCCATGGGGGTCAGCTCCGCCCATAAGACAGGGACCCCCCGCCCCCCATCAAACCCACCACAATCAATTATCCAGGCGGCACCGACCGTGTACTCTGCTCCACCCACCCCGCTGCACAGAAAGGATTGATGTCAGAGCTCAGAGACAGGCCAGAATGGTATTTGCTTTTTGATTCATATCTTACAAATAATTCTACATTTGTTATGCCTTGGTTGTCTGTTTGTTGGGGTTGTGTGTGTTACTGTGTTGTAAAGAAGGCATTTCCTGCTGGGCTTCAGGAGGAGCTGGCAGCGCGGGTTTGCAGAGCAGCAGGCAGCAGTGATGGCAGCCGGTCTACTGGACAAGAAGGACCGTGAAGACAAGCAGCACGGTTATCGGACCCAGCATGCCTGAGCCCGAAGCCCCCCCACACTGAGGTACAAACAGTCCTCTGTGTACCGTATCACCTGATAAATCCTATTACCCTAGTTACATTAGGACAGTCTGAAATTCTTCTCTGCCTGCTTCACTGAAATGATCAGATATTTAACTCTGTTACATTTAACTTTAAGGCTGATCTGTAGTATGATATAGCAGGCTACATTACTCCCCCCCCTCCCCTCCCTCCCTTCTCTGTATGATTGCTGCTGGTGAAGCTATTTAAACTGTGTGTGTGTGTGTGTGTGTGTGTGTGTGTGTGTGTGTGTGTGTGTGTGTGTGTGTGTGGTGTGTGGTGTGTGTGTGTGTGTGTGTGTGTGTGTGTGTGGTGTGTGTGTGTGTGTCAGCCTGTAGAAAGTGCTACAGAGGACAAGAAGCGAGGGAAGTCGGAGAAGGTGAAGAAGTGTATCCGTACGGCAGCAGGAACCAGCTGGGAGGACGCCAGTCTGCTGGACTGGGAATCAGGTACAAAACATCAGTATAAATATAAAGATAGAGACAAATCTCTAAGCGGTTGACCAATCACAACAGAGCCTGCCAGGTAACCAATCAGAGCAGACTGGGCTCTGGTTTCAGACAGAGGGTGAAAAGAGGAGCTACAGCACAGGCAGTAAGAGAAAACACAATACATTTACCAACTAGACATGTTAGATGCTGAATTAACCAGGATGAGTATCTTTCTGAAGTTAGCAGCACGTTCTGAGCAGAAGAGCTTTTCTGAGGCTGCCGTGTGCATCTACTGCAGCTTTGTAGTCCCTCTTTATGTATTTGCATTTTGTAATAAACTATAACATTTTCAAAATGAATATCTACTAGGGTTTTCTGTCACTGTTTCCAATGCTTATATTTGGTTGGTTATCACAATTCTTTGTTTTGATTGGCTGCTGCAGGATGAGGCTAACGTGTGTGTAATCTTGTTTTCTCAATTGTTTGCAGATGATTTCCGTATATTTTGCGGTGATCTTGGCAATGAGGTGAATGATGACATATTGGCCAGAGCCTTCAGCAGATACCCGTCTTTCCTCAAAGCGAAGGTGGGCCGTTTCTTTTATTTACATCCTGTTATCACTCTAAGGCACCAATTACTTAAAAAATAACGTCCTTTCCTATCAGGGCATTTTACTCACCAGCCCCATGAATTGATGCGAATACAACGTGTATTATTTAAGCTTATCGGAGACATTCTGAACATGACAACATTTGATCAGGCAGGTAAATGTTGTTACTGCAAAACAAATAATTGAGTAATGCAGGAGGCAAAATCAGGATATATATGTGAGAGACAGATAATGAACCCAGATACATTGAAGTTTGACATCAATCTAAGTTAAATAGCTTTTTCCTGAGCTTTCCCAGTTTGCAGACTTCCTTAGCAAATGGCCTTTGCTCACTGAGCCGTTAACAGAGTAGATGATGTGTCTGTTTCTCAGCTCTGTGTATGTAGTGGACACAAATAATCAGAATGATTGTCCTCAGGTGGTGAGAGACAAACGAACAGGCAAGACTAAAGGCTACGGCTTCGTCAGCTTCAAAGATCCCAACGACTACGTCAGAGCCATGAGAGAGATGAACGGTCAGTCCTTTCATTCACGTCTTTGAGGATCCAGTGGGGGAATTCAAGTCGTACTAAATTCTTCCTCTGCTCTGTGATTTCTAGGGAAGTACGTCGGCAGTCGTCCCATCAAACTGAGGAAGAGCATGTGGAGGGACCGCAACATGGAAACGGTACGCAAGAAGCAGAAAGAGAAGAAGAAGCTGGGCCTCCGGTAGAGACTGTGTGCTGCTCAGTGTACAAGTATGACATTGTAAATGCTTTCACTCTTTTTTTTCATTAAATAAAACCATTTCTTAGTTCTTGATATGGTCACTTTCAATTTTACTGGCTGTGTTACTCATTGAAGTCCTGTAGGAGTTGCTGTATTTACATCATCTTGCGACATGAGGTGAGAGAATGGTACTTCAAATACAAATCAGAGTCTTTCACTTTTATTCATGAGCCCAAAATACCAATACGGATGCAATGACAGAATAATATGAAAATCATTTGATGTCAGGTCATATTGCCCATCAGTCTCATGATTTGTTTCAAGTAATGAAGAAACGGGACAAATGAGGCTTTACTTAAAGTGCGAGTCTTCAGTAGGCAAATCAGGTGGGCAATAATCTCTATCATTGAAACAATGTGTGCATTTCAACATTAACACCTTCATTCTTTTATGATGTGAGAATATTACACTTTCATTTGAATTCTACACTGTGGTACCTTCAGCATAATGTATATTGATCAGTGTTGGCATGTCCAGGTGAGGCTTGATGCAGCCACACACTGATCCACACACAACATGTCCGCTGGTCACTGATGATACATGAGTAAGAATGAATGGGTTTGAAAAAATAAATTGTACTCCCAACATCATTACCCAAATATCAAAATATCTTCTTTGCTCTCACACCTGAGGAGCAACACTGGCTGTTCTGTTCCCGTGGCGACCAGCTCCATCAAACTGCAGCTCCTATCAACTCCTCCGCAGCTGTCCGTCCACTAAAGATGACATCATTCACTGACACTCCATCATACGAGGAACCAATCAGAGATAGCGATAGGTTGTTCTCCTTTATCAAGTGACGCATGGACTCTGTAAATTAGACAGATTTAAAAAAATAATAATGCTTCACCACAACTTGTGATCATTTTTAACGTATGAGTCAATACTCACCAACTTTTCGAAAATGTCCCATATAATACTGAGGTATGCAGTCCTGAAGAGAGAAGAACAGCACGATTGCATCACTATTAAAAACATGCAGTTTGTTTTGAGATGACAAATATATTATAACGTGATGTCACAGAATCCTAAATGCATTTCCGACAGGACTTAAACGGGTGTATCTCCACACACTGGTGCTGTACCTTCTGCAGGGCCACCCAGCTCCAGCAGGGTGCTGAGGTGACTCCCAGCTGGCTCCGCACTGCCTCAGTGGCTCTCGCTAAAAGACACTCATCTGTTACAGTTTCTGGGGACCCAAACACTTCCTGGAACCAGGCCCCGCCCATCATCACCTGGAAGACAAGGCAACCTGAGGTTAGCCAGATGACTGAAGTGTGTGTGAAGATTAGTCTGTTACCGTAACAGGGCAAGATCACCATGGCAACTTCTGCTGCAGACCCGATCCCCACATGGTTATGTTCAGAGATTAGGCTTGAAATCAGCAAATATAACACCATTCACTAACCCAATTCTGAACAAGAATACTGTTTATGATGTCTGTATTTTAACCGACGGTGTCATTGTATATTCATTTGTTTCAGTTTCTTTCATCTCTTTAGTTGGGTGTATTTTGTTTTATAATATTCATAAAATATCTCCTCTGGTGTTATCTAAACATTTGCACACACTTGCTCTAAGATATACCTCCTATAAATTCACAGATGGCATACATTTATAATTTACTATTTTTCATCAGTATGACGTACACTTGCATATGGAATACAGTATAAGCTTTTCCAATCATCATTTTGCCACCTATGTGTTTTCCTGACTCGTCCTGATATGCGAAGTCCATATTACACTGCTGGTCAATTGCAGCTAATCGAAAGCCCATTCGAATATGTATTAGCCTATTGGTATACGTTTTATTTCACAATCTGGCCAACACATAAATTAGTTTTAACATATTCTTTATTTTGATTCTTTGAGTATTATTGAGTGTCAGACCTAAATGCAGATTTTGAGTATATTGTTTAAATGAAGTTTAAGGAGCTGTAAAATGTGCAGTTGGCACAGATCGCACCGTGGTTAATACAATATATTACTTACTGATAAGTACACTTCTAGCATTCCTCTCTAATTTGATGAAACAGATTGCCTTATACTGTATTTCAAACGCCCCCTTTCATGAGAACCACACAGAGCCTGAGTAGAGAGCCTGGGATCACAAAAACACTTGATAACCAGCTTCTTGGTTCTTGTTATCTCTGATTAGGAGTCTTAGTTTAGTCGAGCCAGCCAAGTCAGAGAAACCTTGGCTCATCTGAACTTGGTATGGCCCCTGTTCTGAGTATTCCCCGTTAGGATACAATCACATTCTGGGGCTTTTATTTTTGAAATATTGTCCATTCCATTTAAAAAAAAAAAAAAAAGGAACTACTGTGTTGACTCAGCATTCACCCCAGTAATATATCAGATGTTTTCTGCTGGGCGGCCACACAACCTGGGTTTGGGTTTTTCAACACTAGCTGAGGATGGACTCATAACCTAATTTATTTAAACAGAGGATTGGAAGCTCTTGCTCCCAATGGCATGGCCAACGGTGAATGTGAGAGTGTTAGTTCCTAGAGAGAGGGTCATCACGCCCCCATCTCCATCAATGGGACTACGGTGGAGAGAGTGAGCAGCTTCAGGTTCCTCAGTGTCCACATCACTGAGGACCTGACATGGACTCTTCACACCATCACCAAAAAAGCTTGACAGTGGCTCTTCTTCCTCCGCAGGCTGAGGAGGTTCAACATGGACTCCAGGACACTCTGCAACTTCTACAGGTGCACCATAGAGAGCATCCTGACTGGCTGCATCACGGCCTGGTACGGCAGCGGCACCGCCCTCAATCGTAAGGCTTTACAGAGGGTGGTGAAAACTGCACAGAACATCACCAGGACGGAGCTGCCATCCATGGAGGACCTTTACTCCCAGCGGCTCAGGAAGAAAGCCCTCAGGATTATAAAAGACCCCCATCACCCCAGCCACAAACTGTTCTGCCTGCTGCCGTCTGGCTGGCATTACCGCAGCATCCGGACAAAAACCACCAGATTCAGAGACAGCTTCATCCCGCAGGCAATAAGACTGCTAAACACCTGAACTGTTGAAACAACATTCATCTGGCTGCTATTTAGAAATTATTTATTTATTTATCCAATATTCGTATAATATATTCGAATAACTTGCATATAGACTCTTATTGCACTATTTTTCTTTCTGTATTTACTAGCACTATATTTTTCTGTTTATCTGTTTTATTGTGTTGCACTGTTGGAGGAGCCTGTGACCTAACATTTTCATCGTCATAACTACACTGTAGCTATGTTCGTATGACAAAATAAAAAAACCTTGAACCTTGAGAGCGAGTGGCACTGCTCTGTATATGGGTAGTGGGTATGGATGGGTGAATCATTTGTAGTATGTTAAGCGCTTTGAGGGGTCGAAAATACCTAATAAAGCTTTATATAAGTACAGTCCATTATCATTCAACAACAGAGCTTATGATCGTGTGTGTGTGTGTGTGTGTGTGTGTGTGTGTGTGTGTGTACCGTCAGTCTTGTAGTGTGTCCTTCAGGTCTGTTGTGTTGAGGGAAGGGAACTGAGTCGTAGACGACCCCGAGAACACCTAGATTCTCTGAAGATGGGATCAGGTGACCGAAGCCCTGTCACACAGAAAACACGTCACGTCACAAAAACTGCTTTTGAAATGGTTATGGGGTGTGGTCACTAAGACATCACAGTGAGAGGGATGCTTCTACAACAGGACGGTTTGTTTACGACACATGTTGCTGAGCACAGATTTCTTTCTTGGACTCAGTCATCTTCTACCACTAATGGTCCCTGAACACTCCATTCAAAGTGCTGTGTGTCTGACTGCAGCTCTCACCGTGACAGGCAGGATGGAACCCTCATACTCCAGATTTACCACAGCAACCGTAACCATGGAGATGTCCTGCAGCAGCTGGCTGAGAGATTGACAGGAGGGGGGCAGGATGGAGGAGAGGGCTGGGGGAGAGAGATTACTTTGTTTTTCTTGCTGTTTGTGTGTGGATTCTACTGTGTTAAAATTACTTTAAAATGATTTGGATATTTCACACATAGAAAACTGCGCACCCCTATGTTTATTATTTTGTTGCAGCAAGTGTAAGGCATTTGTCATTGAACTGCTCAAACACTAAGATGACATTTAAACTAGCTGCAGGCGACAGATACAGTGCATCCGGAAAGTATTCATACCCCTTCACTTTTTCCACATTTTGTTATGTTACAGCCATATTTCAAAATGGATTAAATTAATTTGTTTTCTCAACATTCTCAAAACAATACATAATAATGACAAAGTGGAAACAGTTTTAAAATATTTTTTGTAAATGAATCAAAAAGAAAACACTCAAATATCACAAACATAAGTATTCACACCCTTAACTCAATACTTTGTTGAAGCACCTTTGGCAGCACTTACAGCCTCAAGTCTCCTTGAGTATGATGCTACGAGCTTGGCACACCTATCTTTGGGCAGTTTCTCCCATTCTTCTTTGCAGATCGTCTCAAGCTCCATCAGCTTGGATGGAGCGTCGGTGCACAGCCATTTTCACATCTCTCCAGAGATATTCAATCCGGTTCAAGTCTGGCCTATGGCTGGGCCACTCAAGGCCACTCACAGACTTGTCCCGAAGCCACTCCTTTGTTATCGTGGCTGTGTGCTTAGGGTCGTTGTCCTGTTGAAAGGTGAACCTTCGCCCCAGTCTGAGGTCCAGAGCGCTCTGGAGCAGGTTTTCATCAAGGATCTCCCTGTACATTGCTGCATTGATCTTTCCCTTTGATCCTGACTGGTCTCCTAGTTCCTGCTGCTGAAAAACATCCCACAGCATGAAGCTGCAGCCACCATGCTCCACTGTAGGGATGGTGTTGGCCAGGTGATGAGCGGTGCCTACTTTCCTCCAGACATGATGCTTGGCATTCAGGCCAAAGAGATCCATTTTGGTTTCATCAGACCAGACCATTTGTTTCTCATGGTCTGAGAGTCCTCTAGGTGCTCCATGTGGGCTTTCATGTGTCTTTGGCTTCCTTCTGGCTACTCTACCATAAAGACCTGATTGGTGGAGTGCTGCACAGATGGTTG